TGTCTTCTAGCAGCGTTGAATGACTGACAGTGTCGAACGCCTTGGACAGGTCCAACGCTACTAGAATAGTTCTCTCACAGGGACGATTTCGGTTAAGGCCACGAGTTATCTGAGTGTTTATGGCGTTAAGTGCTGTTGTTATACTATGCACTTTACGGAGCCCATGCTGATGCTTCGCCGGGGTCAGGTGGTTCGTGAAATACGGGAATAGCAAGGCCTCCAGTGTCTTCCCTACCGGGAAAAGGAGGGTTATCGGGCGATAAGACTCTCCTTTGTTGGCTGGTTTCCCCGGTTTGAGCAGTGGGACCATTCCCCAATTTTCTAGATGTCTGGAATGACGAGAGTGGCCATAGACAGGTTGAGGACCTCCGTTAGGTACGCTACTCACGCAGGACCCAAATTTTTCAGCATCAACATGCATATTCCGTCAGGTCAAATGACTTTGGAGGCTTTCGCCTTCCCTATGGCTACCCTTACCTCACGGCTGGTGAAAACAAGAGGGACACTGGGTTTTGGCGTTTTGTGCAGCCTTCTGCTCACTCGATATTTGGCTTTATCCACCGGAGGATGCAGAATAAACTGTCGGCTAAAATAGCTCGCGCATCGCTCCGGGTCCGACGAAGCGTGGCCACCAAAGTCTATTTCGACTCTGTCGTCACGCTTCGTCGGGTTGTACACCGACCTCACGGTTGGCCAAAGCTTGCTCACACCAGAGGCGAAGTTGCAGATCTTTAAATGCTTATCGCATTTCTTCCGCTTATGTACGTTCACAAGTTGCCGAATCTCCGAATTGAGATCCCTGATACGGGGATCTCCAGGATCGGCCTGACGAAGGTTGTCACGCACATCGGCTAGAACAGCCGCTTCAGCAGGAAATTTCGGACGTGGATCCTTAATACATCCTGCTGAGATGAAGCGAGTTGCAGCAGCAGTGACAACCCTGCGGAATTTACGTTCACCTATGTGGACGTCGGTTGACATAGGTACTGCAGTGAAGGTGATTTCAGTAACATCCGCGAAGCCTTTCCAGTCAGCTTTGGAAAAGTTGACATAGATCCGGTGGTCCGCGGAAGCAAAGTCGGCAGGTTTATCAATCGAGTTGACTATGGGCAGATGGTCTGATGCTAGGGTCAGCATAGGTCGCCATGATCAGACCAGCGCTGACAATTTTTAGATCTGGCGATCTCCAGCAGCTGCCCATAATCCTGGTGGGTGCGTCGTCGTTCATTGTGCATAATGTCGAATCGTCTTTCTGTTCAGCCAGATGTATTCCCCTACGATCATTTGAAAGGCTTGAGTGCCAAATATCGTGGTGCGCGTTAAAGCCGCCAACTAACATACGATTTTCAACTCTGATTAGAGCACTTATTTCAGGGTGATATCATGCCGGGCAGCTGGTGACAGGGGGTATGTATATGTTAAATATTTCGAGCTCGACATCGCCTGACCGGATAGCAATTCCCTGACATTCTAGGATGCTATCCCTGCGGTCAATGTCTGCTTCGATAAGACGATACTGCACGGTGTGGTGCGCGATAAACGCTAGACCCTCACCATTGTCTCGCTCGCGATCTCGACGGTGTACGCTGTATCCGGCGCAATTCAACAGTGTTGAATTGCCGTGCAGCTTCGTCTCTTGGACCGCAGCTATTAATATTCCATGCCTTCCCATAAAGACAGTTATCTCCTCGATTTTGCTCTGGTGTCCGTTACAGTTAAACTGTAGCACCTGAGACCGATTGTTATGTGTAGTGTTAATGAGTTGTGTTGCCTGCCGGCTCCCTACTGTACGTGCTGCAAAAGGGGGCGCTGCCTTGTGGTGGTGGTTGGCGGCGTCGCTGGGGAGGTATGCGACTGGGCAGCTCAGCAGGGGCCCACATAGTCACTCGTCCAATCACGCTTGCTGCGAAGTTCTGAGCATTCCCTAAAGTGGCACCAGCCAAGGCAGGAGTTGCACTTGAGTGATGTCACGTTACGGTATATTCTGGACTGACAAACCGAGTAGATTGTTGGACGGACTAGGAGTTGTGTTTGTGTGCGTATCTATTGTTGTGTTGTATTGGGGTGTGGATGTGTTAGTTGTGTGCTGCACGGACGGGTGGTGGTTTGCCGTGGGGGCGGTCCGGTTCGCACAGCATGGGGCCACGGACGACGTGGTACATTGTCTGTGCGTACGTGGGCCCGAGTAGTTGCGGAGGTGACTCCGCCCGTCGCAGGCATTGCACCTGAACGAGGTGGACTTTGTGTGCAGTCGTCTCTGGCATACGCAGCAAGTGTAAGTTTCTGGCCCTGGGTTGGACTCAATGCCAGCGGTGAGCAGAAGGGTACGGAGCAGATGTACCCCTAGAATAGAGAAACGTTTGACGGATTTCGCCGACCTAAACGTAAAACCCGAGTCATTCCGGTACGTAGAACCAGCTGTCGTGGGAATGCCAATAATAAGTTCCAGTCCTCTAACCATGAACACTTCCAGAGATATGCAGTATGAAATATTCGGTTTATATGGACGGCGCCACGCCCCCTTTTCCAATAGCCTAAAATTTTCTCCAAGAGTATGCGAACGATTTCATATACGTCAATACCCAGTTCCAGTACTTTTCCATGAACACTTCCAGAGTTATGCAGTATGGAAAGTTCGGTTTGTATGGGAGGTGCCTCGCCCCCTTTTCCAATAGCTCAAATTTTCTTCCAAGAGTATGCGATGGGTTTCATATATCTCCATACCAAGTTCCATCCCTGTCATGAACATTTCCAGAGGTATGCAGTATCAAAAGATAGGTTTGTATGGGAGGTTCCCCGCCCCCTTTTCCAATAGCTCCAGATTTTCTCCAAGAGTATGCAATGGATTTCACATATCTTTATACCGACTTCCAGAACTGTACCATGATTATTCCTACATATATTATGGGAGGTTCCACGCCCCTTCTCGAGCTTTGCGATATACATAGAATCTTTGTCACAGATGGATACAAGTTGCTGCTTTTAATATAGCGCTCACTTAGTACGCACAAAAAAACATAGCAGCAGGGTTTTATGCGTAATCCAGTGGTCGGCGCTTCATACTACAATTGTGGCAGATCTACTCACACGTATTATTAAGCTCTATCGTTTAGTCGTTGGCTTGAGAGCAACGAATCACCATCGTGTTTGGCTGCTGCGCTTTCTTTCTTGTATGCAAAAATGCCTTGCGAGAAATATTACATGCTTTTGGTGACATGCAATGCCTTTTGTGTTATAAATCATTTAAAAAATAAAGAATATGCTATTCAAAGATATTTTGATTCTTTTCATAATGAAAAATTTAGAAGAAGAAGAAATACAACGACTTTTTAATGAAAAAATTTTAATTTTTGTCAAAGAATTAAAGAGTGGTTGTTAAAGGGAATATGTATGCGATTAAAAGACATTTTTTATCATTTCATAATGATATGGAAAATTTTTATGAACATGAATTTCAATTTTTTTAATTCAATTTTCAATATTTGACGTGAGTGAATCCAAATGAATTTTAAAATTTTTTATTTGAGTTGCACTTCAATAATTTCATAACTAAAAAACTAAAAACTCGATAAAGCCAGTTTTAACGTTTTGAATTTACATATACTCCCAAGCAAAACATTAATATATATTCAGCTTTATCATTTGTTTC